CCCCAAAACCCCAAAACCCCAAAACCCCATGTTCTTTTTAATAATTGAAGGTATAATAAAATGGATCTCAGCCCTCTAAAAAGCAACATAAAGAAGCGAAGAAAGAAGACCTTCAAAAAGCTCTCGGTTGCCCAGGTTCCCCAGATCGTGATCTCTAGAGCTATATCCAAATAAATTTAATAACAACAACAGAGTAGTAAAATCTAAGTCAAGGTCAGGCTCACGGAAGTCAACAGGTAGGAAGAAGAAGAGCTTCATCTACCTCAAGAAGAGAGGGAGGTCTAACGAGAAAGAAAAGGACCAGAATATCCTCCTTCCTCCTCTGTTCATGCAGCACATTGGATCACAGGTGAAACTTCCTAAAATTCAAAGTAAGTTTACAAAACAACAGGAAATTGACAACTTATTTTAGCATCCAAAGGTCGTCGCAAGAGCAAGAAATCTGCCAGAGGTAGCGCCTCCAGGAGCAAAAGTGGAAAAAGAAAGAAAACATTAGCCAAGATTTCAGTCAAATCTAACAATTCCTTCAAAGGGTTGAAATGAGGTGCCCTTACTCCTTCGAGAATAGCTAATTATATAACTAAGAACAACTCTTCATCTAGAAGAATTGATCCAAGCAAGAAAGGGAAATCAATCAGTGATTTTAAAGTATACCCTATAACCAAGCGCAATCCTCGGTTTAGTAAAATAGAAAACAGTAAGTTTGTTCTAAACCATTCCCTAGGTCCGTTATATGCAGCTTTACCAAAATAACCTTAAATCTCAGCTCCAAAGCCGTCCACAGAAATATGGAAGTTCAAAGGACATAAAACCGGTTGCAAAGGCTTCATCAACCTCTGAATTTTCAAGTGCGATCAGTAAACTCAAAGCCAGCCATACACCCTCTCACAAAGAAATCAAGCTCAATAAACAATATCACTACAAAGCTTCTTTTGAGTCTCCATTCAACAAATAAGCACGATACGAGTCAAATCTCTGAAAATGAATTTGCCTCTTTTGTTGAGGCGAAGTTGAACCTGACTAGCATGGTTCAGAACTCCAAAACTATCGAAGACATGGTAAAAACTCCTCGAAATGGGAGTTATCTCCAATGTAGCGCTTCTAAGGACTCACCTATGCGCAAGAAGGTATGTTCCTTTGTGTTATACACATAGTCACCTAAGGAAATAAAGATTGTCCAAGTCCCTGAAGAGACAGACCTGTACCAAGAAACCAACCTGGTCAAAGGTCGTGCTCCGAACAGCAAAAATTTCATTGTGAATAAAATTTTCAAGAAGAAAAAGAACGCAATTAAGTATATTCTCAAAAGGAAGGAAAATACTCAAAATAAGCCTATCATTAATCGACTGAACAAGCCACCCTTGACACTTGAGGAAGCGGAGGATAAACAAAATGAACTCTCCAAGTTTACATTCAATCCTAAGCAGGACCAAAGTTCAGCACTTGATAGCCAAATAGGGTACATTCGAGTTGAAAATCCAGATCAGAAGGAAGAAATTAAGAGGTCTCCTAAACTCCTCAACAATGACAGGAGTAGCTATACCAACTTTATTGAGGAGCCTCAAGTGTCAAATATCCAATTTGAGCCATGCAATTACATCAACGACTCATGTAGTGATAGCTCTGAGAAGATCAAGGATGTAAATCTCAGTGACCTAATGCACTCAGTCTCCTCGCAATCCCGAGAAGGGTCTCCTGAAAGCTGCTTTGAGTCCAGAGCGAAGTACGATGACTCCCCGACCCCTGTTAAGCCTAATGAGCGTTACAGATTTATCAATCCCTCAGATGAGAGTTTGGTAGTACTTCAAGAGTCAGAATCATTCCAATAAAAATTATTCTACATTTTTCAACAGCAACTACTTTTTTAGGGGTTTTGGGGTTTTGGGGTTTTGGGGTTTTGGGG